GGCAGTTCAGCCAGAGGTTGCTTGTTCCAGTGTTGCAGGCAGAGGTTACAAGCCACATCTACAGCTTGTGTGTAATTTTGCTGGAGTTCGTCGCTTTGTGTCAGTCTCCAGTACATAAAATGATACATGGGCAAAACCAGTTCTGTGCAGCCCTCAGTATCGTGTAAAGATCATGGACTGGGCCCAATTCCCCTACCATATTTTTTAATGTGTGATTGGCCCATGGCCAAATGGTGCAGCTACAACTGTGCAGCTTATTAGTATGGAGCATATTCCCACTGGGATGAGAGCGAGACCTGAAGCAGTTGGGAGAGGGGAGCTTTGTGGGGTGTCACCTTAGAGCCTGAGTCCCAGTGGGGTTTGGCCAGAGCACTGAGGCAGGAAACCGTCTGTTCCGTGCCGCTCCATCCCCTCCATGGCTTTCTGCTCAGTTGTGTGGTTGGAAAGTTTCATCAGATTCGTGGTTAGCAAGGAATTGGAAGTGGCTTTCTCTAGTGCACCTGAGGAAGGAGGGAGCAACTATGTTGCAAAATTAAACCCCGGAGGATTCCTCCTTTCTCGGCTAGTGTTGCTGGTGGGGAGGAGGAAGCAGATACAGACCTTGGGGCCTGGATTGTGGAAGTCGGTGTGTGCTGGTGGAAGTCTGTGCTTGCAGCTGTCAGTCTGTGGCATAGGTAAAACTCACGGAGAGTGCGTGAGCCAGCCGTGCTGCTGGCTGCCCTTTCCACTCTGTGCTCCTAGGATTGGATTGGGGAGACCTGTGGGAAAACAGGGCAGTGTCCAATCAGCTGCCTGCCAAGGTCTCGCTCTGTGAAGCAGACTTGGCAAACAGCCTTCGCTTCCCTCCAGTCTACCCCAGGAGTCTGTGAGCCACTGCCTAGTCCCCACGCGTGTACTCTGTCGCTTTGGTCCCACGTATCTATGCCGCAGTCATTGCCTCACATTTCAGAAAAGCCGCCTGTGCCTGCAAGGCCTGGAAGAAAAGCGGCTTGGCTGCACTGTGTGTAAGATCTCTTCCCTCTCACCTACCCCAAACTTATTTCCTGTCTGCCTATAGGATCATGATCCTCCCCCTAGAGTCCCAATGTCAGGCTCTTGGTTCCTATTAGGGATATAAAAGGTTAAATGGTTAACCGGTTAACTGGTAAGCATTAGGCTTACCGTTAACCAACCTTAACCGTTAACCCCAGCGGCCCCGTGCCAGCCAGAGGAGCCCCAGCCCCCGCCGCACCAGGCCAGCCGGAGGGACCTTGGTTAACGGTTAACCAGTTAAATGATATAATTTTGATAATTTAACCAGTTAACTTTTTTTTTTACCGATATTTACATTCCTAGTTCCTATAGAGGAGCAGGTATCTTGTGCTAGCCCTATTGTCAGCCTCTCACTCGAGATGGACTCTTCATTCAGATCAGGGCCAAGCAGGGCTTGACAAACCCACTCACTAGTGGTAAGTAGTAACCTCTTTCCTGGTGGGTGAGAGGGAATTGGGGGAAGCCAAGGCCATCGATTTCTGCCAAGTGTAAGCTTTCATAGAAAAGAGAAAAATTCGGGATACTAGTAAAGAAAACCATTCCAGTGTGTCCTGATGCAGTGAGTTCCTGAGTCTGCCGATAGCCCCGGTGCCTCTGCTGCTTCTCAAAGCTTTCCCCAGGCTACAGCAGCATGAAGCTGACAAGACTGGTTAATTCACTGCTTTTGAGAGCCCTGGGAGCAACCATGAAACTGACAAATTGGATCTCCCACTCTTGTGTCAGGAAAGCTGTGAGCAGAGGCAGCGCTGGAACTATTCACAGGGGAGGGGAACATAAAAAGAGTCTGGAAGCAGGGTTGAGTAGGGAGACCACCAACTTCACAGCAGCAGCCAGGAGGTTGAGGGAGATTAACCCACCCTGCCCCATGAATAGTCAAGAGGCTCTGGGGTGGAGAAGGAACAGATGAAAGCTCCTGAGTTCTTCCAGGGTTCAGAGGAGGGAAAGGCCTGATTGCTACCCACAGCTCTCAGCGAAAGCTGCTGCAGCAGGCTGCCTGCTCCATACAGATGGCCACTTTCTACTGCACTCATTTCCAGTCCTCTCTGATTCAGGCTTAAACAACTCCTTTAGCCTCAGTGCCTGGTATTTCTTTTTCACTCCCCCTCTGTTCCATGCCTCTCCAGTCTGTGCAGTTCTGCAGCCTGTCTGCCTGTCCTTCCACATTATTCCTTTTTTGGCAACTATTGTTTCAGATTTTGCCTTGGAGGC